AGAGATAAGTGTTTGTCGTTGATGCTGATAACGTGGACATTCCAACAGAAAATGTTTGACTGACTCTATTTTTCCACAAGCGCAAAAGCCACTAGTACTCAAATGTTTTTGAAAAAGATCATAATTTAGTCGAGAGAAGTTGACTCTCATTTGATTTAGAATGCAATCATATTTACGCTCACTGAGTTTAAAACGCGACCACTTGTAGTTTGAAAAAAAAGAAATCATAAATTTTTATTCGAAATTTTTTTAATTTTATTATGTTTTGCAGTTCGACAGGCAATATATTCCATTGTCTCGCAACCCAAGGAAAAAAAGTGTTTTTGAATTTTTCTGTGCTGGTACGAAATACGTTTACTTGACCTCTCTCTCTTGAGCGTAAAGATGTAGTAACAATTGGTTGTTTAGGAATACGTGTAGAAAGAAAAGTGGGTGTGAGACCGCTTTTTATTTTGAAGAAAAGAATTCTTTTGTTAATTGCATAGATGTGTTCTAACGGAATCCAACCTAAAATTTTAACGGAATGGCTATTGATACCACCATCAGAGGTGTCAGCAATGGCTATTGACACCACTAAGAGGTGTCACCAAGGGCTCTTGACACCACCAAAGGGTGTCCGCAATGGCTATTGACACCACCATCGGAGGTGTCACGAAGGGCTATTGACACCTCCAAATAGTATGTAGACTGTGCGAGAAGTATATTTCATATAAGGACATGAATGCAGTTTAGATATAGTGAACTTCGGTAAAATTCCTCGGATGAAACTTTAACAATCCTTATGCTACGTTGGATAAATATTTCATGTAGACTGGTGACATCATCGAATATCTGTGTAACTGCTTCTGGGCCGAACAAATCCTCTTTTTCAAATGAGTTCTTTTAGCGTTTCAGCATGAATTTTAAAGTTTCATCCAATGAATTTCACCGAAGTTCACCTATATCTGAAGTGCATTCATGTCATTATATGAGATACACTTCTCGCACAGTCTACATATTAGAACTCAGAGGTGTCAACAATGGCTATTGACACCTACTGGAGGTGTCAATAGCCTCAATGGAGGTTGGTGGTGTCGATAGCCCTTCGTGACACCTCTGATGGTGGTGTCAATAGCCATTGCTGACACCTCGTGGTGGTGTCAATAGCCCTTGTTGACACCTCGTGGTGGTGTCAATAGACTCACCCACACATTATTTGGCGCACGATGTCATTGTAAAGGCAAGTGAGTATAGACTTTTATTCTGATTTTTACTAGTATTACTATGTCCAAACATAAAATTTAAGGCAAATATCTTTTGTTACACTAAAAACAATAAATGATATCAAACATAATTTTTTACTTCTATGTACTTATTCTTCACTACCACGAATACTCTTGAGAAGTTCTTTGTTATTTAAACTCAAAGAATGAAAATTAGTACACGTGTTTGTATTCATTCTGATTCTCAATTCTGCGTTCAGTGCTTTTTCTTATGTGAAGCAGCCGATTTTTCGATTTAAATCGCTGAAAATCGGTAAAATCATTAAAAGTGGTGAAAATCGAAAAATCAGCTGTTTCCCCCTTGGAAATCTCATATAAGATAAATTACTAAACGCTCACGGTTTGTTGAACCGGAAGCGTAATATAAAAGTGAAAATTCCATTGAAGACAGTCAAAAGAAAATATCGTTTGAAAGAGGGACAAATTTTTAAATGTAGACCCGACGAAAACTATATGTGAACATTTCGAGATATTATTACCTTAGGTACTATTCCAGTATGAAAAAGGTTATTGTCACCATTTATTTACTGACGTAGTGGCAGAAATAGACAGAACAAAGAGAATATGTAAGTGGAACATATGTAAGTAGTCTGCTTTTACTTCTAATAGAGGTCACAGCGATTCACGTGTGTATTGAATGGTGAGGTAAAATCACCAACTGGTTTTGGTTCAGTCACTGATAATGATAAATGATCGAGGATTTTAAAAACCCGATGTTTTATTCTAAACCATTGGTTACCTTATGATGATGCCAACCATTTATCATTTTGTCATTTTTTTTTCCGAGGTGTTATCATCCTCACCCTCACTCTGTCATTTTTTGAATGTTCGAGCTTTCAGCGAAGGTCCATCGAAAGCATATTTTCGAGCACTCGAGGTATCCCTCGAATAACTGGTTAGCAACAACGTGGTTCATCTGCGATCTTGATAACGGGCAGCTTGCAGGTTCTGGGTTTGATACAATCTTGTTGTTGTCCGAAGCAGATTTTGTATTGTGAATAGCCATTGTTAAAAGTGACTGGAAAAAATCATGACAAAATGCTTTTTCGTGAAGTTCGTTCTGAACGAATCACAAGCGACTAGACGGTAAATGAGCAATCAACAGGAAGAAGTAAGCTGACATCATTAATTAATGCGCAACTTTTCCTGAACTGTGCCCAGGTGCAGTGTCCACAGCTTGTGCTCACGCCTTAAATTTCAGTTTTATGTTCCATTTACAAACATCATGTGGACGACAACAAATTGTCATTAAACTTCTCTATTTTATAGAAAAATGTTTCTTACGGTGTTGCGTATTTTTAACAAAACTAGGTGAAATAACCCATTTTTAATTATTGTCACCAAAAATTAAAAACTTCACAACTCAGTCAAAAACCCATCCAACCTACTTCAAAATGGCAGGAAATACTCCATTTTACCTGCAGTATACTGTAAAGCTCAATAAATGTTGACCACCAGAAATTTTACAAAAGTTTCCCAGAAACCTTCGGAATTAATAAAATATTTTTATTGATTTTAAGTACAGAATCAGAATGAGCTGCAGAGGAGTCCTAAGGCTTCAGGGAAAATGTCCATAGCTCCCGAACCATAGGTTTTCGAGATGTCGCTTAGATCCAGTTTTGTAGAAAACACCTCTGGCTATATACCTATCAAAAAACATCGACCTATTTCTATGTCAGTTTACAAAGATCCAAACTGGTTTTCTAAAGATCCACCTAGAAATCCTACAAAGATCCACTCGAAACTTTCTATCACTGATTAATACTACGTCCTCCGGTTTTGTCTCCATGATGGTGAAAACCCGATCTTGCTAGCTCCTTTCGTTCTCGAGTTATTCAGCTCGCAATCGCGCGCACTATATTTTCAAATGGATAGTAGGTACGCGTATATTTTCTTCGACTATGTGCAATCCGCACCAGACACTCTGTTACGCACATATGATATCTATGCGAACAACAGTTAAAAACTAACTATAAAGTGTAGAAAAGAAGTGAGTTATTATTGAGGTGTGCTGTACATGAAAGCATTTGTTTAGCTCACATCTGTTCGCCTACATAATGAGTATTTTGATTCTCATAGACAACCTGTCATAGGACATACGAATAGAAACACTGAACTGCGGATAACAATATATAAAAAAGCTTTGCTTAAAAATAAATGTTCCCAGCCTTTCAGAGTTTTACAATGTCAGATGGTTATGAGAAAATGTTTCCCAACATTTTACACGAAACGTAGTAGATTAACTTTTAATATATAATTGTAAGTAAGTATTTGTAAGAACAATATCTATGCTAGTTATTCATATCCACATTCACAGCTGTTATTTTTCTCATTTTAAGAAGAACCAAAATAAAACGGGTGTTGTTCTTTTATTAATTAACTGAAACAAAGGCAAAAACACTCAAAACATGAAAATTATTGCTATTTTTTGTGAGTGCTAATTTGATTTTTATTCCTTTAAACAGCCCCGTTTCTTTTTCTTCAGTATTTATATTGCTCCTGCACTATGGTAATAATAATGTTGTTCATCCACGGCTCCCCTTAGAGATACTGGAATGGTTGGCTCAAATAGAAGCCTCAAAAGATCCAGTGCAAGCAGAATCAGCACGCAAAGAAATGGAATCAATTGAAGATACAATTAACTTATTAAACACAAATTTAATGTGTAGGTCACAGGATGATTGTTTTGCTGCGGCTTACGGTATGAACGGATGTCATTTACCAAATGGTGCCTTCATTATTTCTCGGTTGAATAAACATTTACCAGCCATTGACATACTGGTTGAACGAACTAAGGAATTACGAGGAAAATATGTGCAGTTCAGTGGACCAGCGATCTGTGGTACTTCGCCTATACTTCCGTCAGCAAAGTGCGATATGACAAATAATCAATGCGTCGAAAAACCATGGTGGGACTTTTCTGGTAACATTTCTAATGTATCCACATTACTGTGTGGAGCATCTCTAATTTGTCAAAACTAAATCAAACGAAAACAGAACAAGTAAAGATATGTCAGCAGCTCAGATTTCACCTCGGAATAAAGAAATGCGCTGTCTGATGTTTACCTGTTCTGCTCACATATTCTCTCTGTTCTGTCTATTTCTGCCACTACGTCAGTAACTAAATGGTGACAATAACCTTTTTCATTATTATTCCTAAACTAATTAAAACCGGGCACATATCTGTCTCCAGTAGGAAAAAAATGTACAATATGGAAACTTCATCGCATAATCAGTTTGTGAATTCTGGCTGTCGTGATTCGGGAATGATGACTGTTTGAGGTGATTGAATATCGCTTCCACTTAAGCAAGATTCACAGAAGCTAATTCAATACATGCTACTTTTAATGAGTCAATCATCAAATCTACAGACGGTATAACTGGTGAAAACAGAATTCTCGAGTTGCAGACGATGCGGGAATGCATAATAACAATAAAGATAGACCGATTCCGTTCGTTGTGAGTGAAGTTTACGGATCCCATGATCGTAGCATAGTAGTGCGCTAGGAGCTGAATATGAATTATTCCATTAAGTGAAAAGGTCATTCCTCTATATGTAAATAATATATATAGCTATTCATCATATTCATATACAGATATATTTATTTTATTTGGTATTGTATCACTCTCAAAAGATTTATTAAATGCTTTGTCCTGTTATTTTGGACTGAAATGTTCTACACATTTATAGCAGACTCCCTTCGGAAATCCCTTCAGTTTCAAAAAATTCGAACTCGAATGTTTTTTGTTTCTAACATTTTAAATGCGTTTTGAAATTGACGTACATAATCGACATAGACAAGCCGGGGTGGTAAGCGGTAACAGATTTTCAACGCGGCACTCTGTACATGTTGGAGTTTAGCCCAACTAGAGTCCGAGATACACAGAAAAGTTAGAGAAGAGTATGTTAAGAGGGGGCGGACGAATGTGTTAAACATCAACACAGCAGTGTGACTGTAAAGTCCCCAACGCCTGCCACACACTTTTTAATGCACCGAGTCTTTTTCGAGCACGCAGACACACGTCTTCCACATGAAGAGAGAGAGCGACATACATTGGTCCAAAATAAACCTAGATATTTAAAATTTTTAACTTGCTCTAACACGTGGTTATCCATCAACAGATTCAGTTTTGCGTTTCTGTCCGCTAGACATTTCGTAAAAAACATGCATACAGTTTTAGGATAACTTATTTGGAGACGCCAAAGTTTACAATATTCACAAAGTTTATCACTAAAAAGTTGTAACATTCTCACCTTGTACACTAATAAAACATGCATAAATATAAGTCCAGATAAAATTACTTATTTAAGCAACACAGTACCCTAGTGATATTCCCGTTCCATTATTGTTGAGATCTGATCGCGAACTCGATTTTTTCCCGTGTAATGAAAAAATGCTGACCTTGGCAAAATAAAATCGCGATCTTGATCAAAGTCGTTATGCGATCCTGTTTCATTTGTGTTTCAAGAGAGTGACGGGATCGCGGCAGGATTATACGAAGATCGTGTCTAATTCGAAACAAGATCTTGAGAAGATTTTTCTTTGCCTACCGTTGAGAAAATTTTTAACATATATAAGTATATATATATATATATACATTAAAATGTTTCTAGTACTTCAGTTTGGTAGAGCAAACATTTTTCTATAAATGAAACATTCAGCAGTTCTAAGTGCTTTTTTATAATGATTCGGAACGACTTTGCCGAAAGCCTCAATATCGATTAGTAATCGATGCATGCCTAATTGGGTTAAATTTTTATTCAAAACGGGATGTAAAGCATGCATCTATACTGTAAAAGTAGGCCGAACTCAAGCGACCCAATATCCAATAATATTGTGAAAACTCAATATTATTGGTCCCAATATATTGTATTGGTGCATGCCTACTCTGGTATTTACAGTTGAAAAGATGTCATCTTTATTTGATTATTATATTTTCGCCCAGGAGTATAATTTGATCAAGAATCGATTACGATCCGTATAATTGTCACTGATTCATCTATTCATATAAGACTTACACACAATTTGAATAACACACAAAAGGGCAAAAAGCGCCGCTCCATTTCACTTCAAATGAAACTCACTTCATTTCTGGTCAAGTCAATTCGTCACATTGTTATTTCATTGCCTGTTTCTGATTGGAACAATGATGCTTATCTCACGATATCAATTCAGGTCAAAAGTGTCCATTGGAACTTTTAAATACTTTCAAATTCATGCAAACTAATTTCGAGATTTAAAGGAGTTTGAACGAATTTAAAAGGAAAGGCGTTCAGATTAATTTAAAAAATCTTTTTGCGTTCAAAATTAATACGCATCAATTTAAATCTGAAATTAACTGAAATTCATTTTAATTCATTTTTTTATGAAAAAATTAATTTTCCTCGTTACTGCATTACACCAAGTCTCATATTAAATTAATTTACACAAATTTCGAATTTTGAATTAGTTTACATCAATTAGAAAACCCTTCACTAAGTTGAAACTTCAAATTAATTTGAATTAATGTTTTTCTAAAATTCCTTTCACTCAATTTAGTAATAAATCCATTTGCACTAATCTGAAAGAAATTAATTCAAAACAATTTTCAGTTTAAAATTAATCTGAATTACTCAGGCTTATCGTAGCTAAAATTAATTCAAACGAATTTTAAATTAAAAATTTGTTAGAACTAATTTGAATTTTTTTGAGTTTTGGTGTAGTTAATGAAAATAGACTAACTGTTTGACTACTGTCATCAGTAAGTTCGCGGCAATTCTCGAGAGAGAAAAGCATTCAGAGAGTGATCACCCTAGTGATATTCCCGTTCTATTATTGTTGAGATCTGATCGCGAACTCGATTTTTTCCCGTGTAACGAAAAAATGCTGATCTTGGCAAAATAAAATCGCGATCTTATAATTGGATCGCGTTCTTGATCAAAGTCGTTATGCGATCCTGTTTCATTTGTGTTTCAAGAGAGTGACGGGATCGCGGCAGGATTATACGAAGATCGTGTCTAATTCGAAACAAGATCTTGAGACGATTTTTCTTTGCCTACCGTTGAGAAATTTTTTTTATTATTATATCATTCTGTTCCTTAAACTATCAAAGTACAAAATCAATCCTTGCACGAAACTAGGATCACACTGACTTCGTATTTTTCCTTTATCTCAGTCTGTAACGATGTAATATTCGTTTATTTCGTCCATCCGTCGATAGAAGAAGAAAAACAGATAGACAGTGTGCGTATATTATCGTCCACTGTGTTTATTCTTTGTTCTCTTTTAACATATATAATAGATACACAATACAAGTCAATTATAGTCATTTCTGAACTTTTTAACGCAGTGCCACGAGTGTTTTTCTTCTAGATTTTTTTGAGTTTTATATGTAGTTAATGAAAATAGATAGACTAACTGTTTGACTACTGTCATCAGTAAGTACGCAGCAATTTTTGAGAGAGAATCATTATTATCGAACTGCAAAAGTCACAAGTTTCTATCGCCTGCAGAATGACCCGTTTCCGTGGAGAAAATCATTCCTCACAATGGTCATTTTTAATCGACTTAATATACTTCAAAAAACGTACTTGATCATTGCACAACAATACATAATCGTGCAGTCGATATAAATGTCGTGTTACCCTCTCAGTTTCAATGCTGTCCAATCTAAGATATTTATCGAACCACATTATGGTAATAAAGTGACGAGTGGTTTTCTTTCAGTGTTTTTTGGGTTTTGGTGTAGTTAATGAAAATAGACTAACTGTTTGACTACTGTCATCAGTAAGTACGCAGTAATTCTCGAGAGAGAAGAGCATTCAGAGAGGAAAATTAAATTATCATCGCGGATACTATAGTATTTGCGGTGACGATAGAACAGATAGATGTGTATGTTTAAATATATTTCTTACAAGTTCAAATAATATTTTTCGTTCTTTCAGGTAGACAACGAGAAATGACTAAAATTCGTACGTATATAAGGAACGAAAGGATTCAAACTAAAGCGGTAATTATTTAGGCCACCAGCCATCAGGTGCTAAAATGTCAGAAAAGAATAAAGCAAAAAAACGAAAAGTTGCAAGGATTCCAGAAATGACTGCTAAAAAATCACGTATACGTAGCACTAAAAATGTAAGAATGTTCTTGTTTTCATGATTCGATTATTAGAGTAATGTTTGTTTATTGAATTTAAGATAATCAGTGACATTATTATGAAATATTAAGTAACATATTATTCTACTCAAGACAATATTTTATTATTTGAACTTTGTGATATACTTCGAATTTATCGATTGATAATGTTGCTGTCTTTAATTTTTAAACTTAACATTTTTTAACTTTAAATACCACTTTTTGGCTTCAAAAAAGCAAGCTAAGGAGGAACAATGATGATTAGTAAGAGAATAGATTGCGTCTGATGTTTGGAATATATATTCTGTTATGAGAAAAGGTACAGAAAGACAGTCTCGAGGACTACAGTTTACATTGGTTTGGAAAAGCATAACTCAAATTTCAAATTTTAAATTAAAAATTTGTTAGAACTAATTTCGATTCAAACGCATTCAAATCGATTTACATGGGAATTAGTTTACATTACTTCTGGTTATAAAATAATTTAAACTAATTTGAGACTAAGTTGTTTCAAACTACTGGAAGATTTCAATACTTTTTTCAAAACAGAAAAAATGCAAAGTCCTCATAGTGTATCTGATATAGTTAGAGACCAAGTTTCCTGAATCAACATTTTGGAAGGAATCCGATGGCAGTCTCTGAAATTCTCTATCGAATGATGTATGATAAGCAAAAACAAAAATTCCACTGCAACTTTGATTTCCGT